AATAGGGTGAGCCAACGCCCAGTAGAGATATGCTAAACATAGTATGAGCAATAACAAAAACATTAGCACTTGATAAATGTTTAACTCATATAAACCAACATACAGTACAATCTCATTCCATAATCCTTTACTTATCCAATTCTCACCTTATAAACACGGCTCAGAACCTGGCCAAACAACTTAGATTAGACTACACCTCATGCCAACAATACTTCAAACTGCCATTTTATGAAAATTGCGTCCGCGGGATTCGGCACCCATATGTAATTATTTTCTTATGTCCATTTTACGAAAATTTCATCCGCGGAACTCGGCACCCATGTATAGATATTTTCGAATTGCCATTTTATGAAAATTTCATCCGCGGGATTCGGCACCCATGTATAATTATTTTCGAATTGCCATTTCACGGAAATTTCATCCGCGGGATTCGGTACCCATGTATTCAAATACTCATCATATATAATGACCAATCAACACACATATTCGTTGTATTATTCCAACTGCCATACTCAATGACATACTCAAATTGATTAGTTTTAATTCACCTAATCATCATGCAATGTCTACAATAATCAAGAATATCCTCCACCATGCAATGTCTACAACAATCAAGAATATCCTCCACCGATAGCCCAAAGCAGTTATTTCTAAACAGATAATAAATGCACCAACAGATAAATTATCAATAATTCTCAAAGGTGAGTGATTATTAAGTCCAACTCCACCATTCTACTACATAATGAGCCAATTTCATTATTCCCAACTCAATTTCATATGTCCATAATAAATGTCATTAATTACACTAATGACCCGAATATACCCAAACATGGCATTTTCTCCATTTTCTCAACATTGACCCAAAGGTTCAAATATCATCAACAATATCAATAATCTCCCTTTTTAGACCCAAAACACATATGTTTGAATCAAAAGAACAAAACCCCTCTTTCCAATATAACACATTACAAACCCTAACTTTCCAAATCAAACCATTTATACAAAAAGCTCAACATCTATGTTAAAGCTCATAAAAATGAGTAGTTATCCCTACCTCAAAGTTTGAAGCCCAAAGATGAAGATGAAGAAACCCAAAGATGCTCCAAATCAACACTTTTTCGGATCCAAAGATAGCCCAAGCCAAACTCTACCTTTTATACAAAGGAACTAAGGTAGAAACACTCTAGACCTAGATAGATTCTTAGAGAGAGAGAGAGAGGCTGCCGAAATTAGGGTTTTGAAAAGTTAGAGAGAGAGAGAAAGTTGAAAAAGTGATTTAAAATGACCTAGCTGCGATCTGATATACGTATGACCCGCTCGAGCGGAGAATAAGACGCTCGAGCGTCAAACACAAAAAATTGTACCCGCTCGAGCGCAAGGATACCCGCTCGAGTGCCAAGACACAACTACAAAACACACCCGCTCGAGTGCAAAGAGAAACCCGCTCGAGCGTAGATTACCCTATCCTAGTATTTTTTTCAGACATTGAACACCGAATCGAGCAAAAAGGGTCCGCTCGAGCGTGAAAAACACATCTGTAGTACTTTTGCAGACGGACAAGCTACTGAAGGTGTGCAAACTCCACTCGAGCGCAAGAAGAGCCGCTCGAGCGGATCACTGAAAATCTGGACAACAAGAATTGTGACAAAAGCTCAACCAACCTGTTTGAAACACGCCTAAGACAATTCTAAACTCAAATACAAAGAGTTAAAGGACGAAAATGAAATACAGACAACAACAACTATCAACGGAACCAAGTTCGGAATACAATAAACATGAGAGGAAAAATCGGGATCGCTATAGTTTGAAGTTACTTTGGTCATACATGTATTGCTTTGTATAACCATAATGCATTCTTGCTTACTAGCTTTGTGTATTGAGTTCACTAGCATGCATTGATTGGGCTATTTACATGATCTAGCATCATTTCTACCATGATTTCAGTGCATATTCCATGGCCATACACTCACATGTGTCACTCTTTCAATGCCTTTGGAAGGTTGTTCTTTATGCTTTAAATATTAGCTTATATGCAGGCCTTATTGTCTAAGCTTGTGGGCTGCCATATCAGTGCATTTTTGGTGTTATTTTGACATGCCATAACTCTGATTTTTGTTGGTATAATTATCTCATGCTTGGTTTTGGTGGGTGTAGTGTAATCCTCTTCATTGGCCTTATATGCGTCATGTTTTGTGTTCACCATGCTAGCTTATTTTGGCCTTGTTTTGACCTGCCTTGGGACTGACTACCTTGGCCCTTTGGGGCTTACTTGATATGACCATAGTGTAAGTCCCTCAGCTAGCTTTAAGCTTTGAGCCCACTAGCATGCGTTATTTACCATATGTACATGATTTAGCCTCATTCGGAGTGTGATTTCAGAGCCTACTTCACTGCCACACTCTCACCTTTTTCACCCCTTCCATGTACTTGAGAGTTGGTGCCTTCATGCTTTGTTTGTGAACCAATTGGCATGCATGCTTGTATATACTTTTTGGACTTCATTTTCAGCATGCTTTTGGCCATTGTATTGGTATGCATGAGGCTTGTTTGAGGTTAATTTGGTCCATTGAATATCGCATCACATAGCCCTTGCCATTGCATGTTGTTGCATGCTCATGTTGCTTGCATATTGTTGTTGCATGTTCATGTTGTTTGCATGTTGCATGTTGCATTATCTTTGCATGCTTGTTGCATTGCATTGTGTTTGGGTTGGAGGTTGATCCAAACGCGGGGAACGAGAGGCGTTTCATACTTGAAGTGATAAAACACACCTCATTCCTTAGGTCACCGACACCTTTGATCATGCATGATAAGGTGGAGGTTCATTGAGTCTTATGTGGCATTTGTGTACATTCATTGTCATTGATTTGTGCAACTCGGCCTCTTTGGCCATTATGCATTGAGATGCAGGATTGATGGCTCGAGAGCCGAGCACTACACTCCTTTGAGCCTTAGACATGATGAGGAGTGTGGTTGCACACACATTTTCTTATAAATACACGACCATGCCTCTATTAGTGCTCTGTTGCAGCAAAAGGAAGAATTTGTAGGAAGCAGTGGCCGATCGACCAATTAGTATGCCGATCGGCTATAAAAGTTGGCCGATAGCATTGGAATTTGGCCGATGACTATTAAACTATGGTCGATGGCCACTCCTCTTGGCCGATGACCTCTCAGAATGTCCATGAGGTGGATCAGAAGTACTTTGGAGGTTGGCACAATTTTCAGAGGTCTAAAACAACGCAAACAGAGGCAACACGAGGCACGGTAGTGGATTTCCAAGAGGACCCGACCGAGCATGCATCATTAATCACTTCGAAGCAGAGCTGTGGTAGCCTGTTTCAATTTCTTATTTAGCTGGTTTTGTAATTTAATTAATTTGTTTAATTAGTTAAGGGTTTTGTAATAATTAATTAGCTAGGATAGTTAGTTAATTAGTTGGTTTGTATTATTTATTCGGACCCTCCGTCGAGAGGGCCAACTGTTGTAATAAGCGTGCGTGCGTGTGATACATGTCTTCCAACCCCATTTATTTCTCCCTTTTACTTAACTGCTTTCGATAGTTAGTTTTAGGGCATGTTTCAATTAGCATACTTATGTTTCGCATGTGTGCATCATTCATTTTGTCTTGCGTGCACCGGGCTCGGCGCATCATACTAACTGCATTGTATTTCAATTTCAATTTGAATACATGTTATCAAGTTGCATTCACATGACATCTTAGAATAGCCGAGCCTATCTTAGTTGCATTTTTGCATGTGTTGCATTAGTCATCTTAACATGAACTAGGATCATGCATGATTTCTAACTAGTTCTCTGTTTTGGCTCGGAGTACACTGTGAATGTTTACACTTTAGCATACTGCATGAGATGTGTATGTTGCCATGTATAGCATGCTTGCCATGAGGATAACTGCTTAAGTGTTTAACTGACTGAATGCCTATGGGTGAAGCTTGGATTACTTGAATTGGGATAATTCATCAAACTGGGTGTTTTAAGCCCACTTGAGAGTGGCAAAATCATTATTTTCTAAGCCCACTTGAGGGTGGCAAAATCCGCGACTTAGCCTACTTGCGAGTAGCAATTTCAAACTGTTTTCACAAACAAACATGAAATTTTTTGTTCCAACTTAGGCGATCTAGTCTATACCTGTATGCTGTGCGCATCACATCGTAAGCTAGCTAATAAACCGGAATAAGAAGACATGTGTTTTCAAAAACAACATATTATGTTAGTAAAGGCCGATCTTCGATCGGGCGAGCGGGAGTGCTCATTGCATGACCTTCCCCTCTCATACCCAAGTTCCCGAGCCGAAGCAACTTTGGTGATGATGGACACGTGGCCTTAGGCACGAGTCAGGGTTTCCTAAATTTCCCAAAAATAAAACATTTAGGTGGCAACTTTGTATCTGGAAAACCAGTCCATGTTTGGCACTTCTTTATAAAAATCAGTTTTCCAAAACGATTTGTCGGATTTGGACTCTTTGGTGATTTATCAGTCTTACATTGCACTTTGTGAGATTAGATTCAAAACCGTGACAGAAGTCCGAACTATAGTAGCTAATGAACAAATGATTCGCGCCCTTGCGCGCAGAGCCGAGAGTTCTCGAGCGGTCTACACTCTTCTTTCATGGAAATCCTTTAAAATTGATCCTTTAAAAGATGAGAGCAAAGCCCTTGTTGCAGTGAAAGAAACTCTTTTCTTAGCAAAGAACATGAGTTTCGGGAAGAGGGAGTCTAGAGAAATTGTTTTAACCAAATCAGAGAAATTTTAATCAAACCAGAGAAAAATTTCTCTGGACAGTAAGACATTTAGACAACAGCTCAGAGAAAATTGAACATCAAACTTATCAACAGAGAAACACCTTAAAAGCACCACCCAACAACCAAAGCATATTAGAACTAAATACTACTAACCCTCTAACACCATTCTTGTTTACACACACAAAAAAAAAAAAAGAAAAAAAAAGAGCTACACAGAGACAAATTTATAGGGCATCAATGGCGGAACCAATGAGGAGATTCGCAGTCGGTTACGCTCTCTCTTCGAAGAAGCATCAGAGTTTCATTCAAGTTTCATTGGTGAATCTAGCGAGAGAGAGAGAGAAAGAGGTATCGATCTCATTCGTGTTGCTACGGACAAGCCTTTGGTTGATCAAGGACCGTTCGATTGCGTGATGCACAAGCTCTGTGGCTTTGATTGGAAGAACCAGTTGGAGGATGCTCTTAGATCCAAATCAATGGGGTGAGGGTTTGAAGTTTCTAGTGATTGCGAAGCCTTTGGTCGCCGATGGGAGTGTGAAATCGCACAAGATGTCTCTTCTCTGAAATCACCTTCAAACCGAACCTCACCAGATCGACATAGTCCAATTCCTTCTTCCTAAGCGTCCATTTCGTACACAAATTCCTCAGTTTCAAGAGCAAACCCTCGTCGTCATCAATTTCGCCTTCTCCATCATCGTCGCTGCTACCGATGTCGTCGAGAGCGGTTGCTTTGCACTGCTGGACCTTAATCAATATTCAAGTTGCATCACAAGTTTTGATCTTGTTCATCAAGGAGGTTTTGCTCGAGAGACGAGAGAGATAGAGCAAGATTCGGTAATGGAGAAGTTGGTAAAGAGAGAATTCAAATTTCTCTGTGTGGGGTTGAAGGACCTTAGACATTATAAAATAATATTGTGGATCTCTTTCATTACTAAAAATGGGAGAAGGACCTTAAACTAATTTTCCCTAAAATATATCTATATTTTATATAATTTCACACTCTCTTTCTCTCTTTTTCTTTTTAAATTGCATCCTCAATTTTCAAGCCAAAGCCAACGTTAAAATCTTGACGCGCGACTAACTTGGTGCCGCCTTGTTCCAAATCAACATCACATCACAACAACGCTCACAAGTGGTCAATTTATTATGATCCATGTTGTGCCCCACAGAAATAGAAATAAAAATAGAAACATAGAGGTTGACTTTGGAGGATGTAACGTAACCAACCCTGCACAAAAGAAAGGCTCGTGGTATTTTGATATATATAGTAGGGGAAGGAAAAAAGAAATAATAAAAAGAAAAAATAAGAGAAAGGTTAAAGGAGGAAAATAGACATTGTAGGTGCGTCCTATACTCATGGTTTTGTTTTTTCCTTAAAGAAAAAATCTTGTACTCACTACAAGAAAAAGCGTTTTTGGCGACTAAAACTTCATTTTTCGTCGCTGAAAGTAGTAGAATTGGCGACTAAAATGGAATTAGTCGCCGAATGCAGGGGTTTTAGAGACTAAAAGGCAGTTTAGTTGCCGAATGTAGGGGTTTTAGCGACTAAAGGTTGTTTAGTAGCCAAAAGTGACGGTTTTTCCAAAAGTGACGGTTTTTCCAAAAGTGACGGTTTTTCCAAAAGTGACGGTTTTTGGCGACTAAAATAATTTAGTAGCCAAAAGTGATGGTTTTGGCGACTAAAAAACATTTTCGTCGCCGATTATAGGTGTTTTGCCGACTAAAAACAGATTGGTCACTGAAAATGAAGCTTTTTGGCTACAAAAAAAAAAATTAGTAGCTAAAAACAGTCAATTGACGACTAAAATTCAGTTTAGTAGCCAAAAGGGGACGTTTTTGGCGACTAAAAACAGATTTAGTCGCCAAAACTGCTTATTTTTAATTTGAACTTATTTTTTTAGCGACAAAAAATTAATTAGTAGCCCAAAATAATAGAATTGGCGACTAAATAATGGATTTAGTCGCCAAAAGTGGCCTAAATTTTTTTTTTAATAAATAATTTATTTTTTACATAAATTATATTGAATAAAAATAATTATATTTATATATATAGTTTTGTATTAATATCGGTCAATAAACTATATAAATAATATATATTGCATATATATTCATGTGATGTTGAAGTGGCATAATGGAGGGAGTGTGTTGCTAAAGGTGTTGGCGGTTCAAATCTCAGAAAAAACAAAGAAATTGGATTTTTTTTTTTTTTCACGGAAGGACCTTTGGCGACGAAAATTTTAGTCGCCAAAAGTGTTTATTTTGGGCGACTAAACCGTTTAGTCGGCGATTCATGGACTATTGGTGACTAAAAGATTAGTCGCCAAATGTGTGATTTTAAAAAGTGTAAATCACTATTGGCGACTAAAAAGTTGGTCGCTAAAGAGCTATTTTTTGCCGACTAAAAAATTTTAGTCGCCAGTACCTCCAGCGACCATATATACACGACAAAAGAGGTGACTAAAAAAATTAGTCGCTGAAAGTAAAAACTCGACTTTCGGCGACTAAAAACAGACTTTTGGCGACTAAAAATTTAGTCGCCAAAAATGCTTTTTCTTGTAGTGACTAATTAGAAGGAGATAATCAACTTATAAGGTAGAATATAATATTCTCATAGAGCGATATGAGATGCACCCACACACATAATTAAATTACAATAAATATTAACAACGTAATACTAACAGCAATGCTAGGTATCATGAAAAACCTTTCATGAAGATAATCATGAAAGTTTCGTGACCCTTGGATTACACTTAGAATAAAGCACCACATACTAATCAAGATAATCCAAGGATCATAAATTTTTCATAATCATTTTCATGATAAAATTTTCATGATCCCTAACTTTTCCCTATATATATATATATATATTAAAACTTATTATTTAGAAAGACTTTTTTCAAATATAATAATATTACTATTATTATTAATTGCATGCAGGAGGACTGACCCAACTGAACCATGGAGGAGGACAGCCTCTACAATATGTAGCAAATGCAGCCTTCTTGGCATCACTATATGTTGATTATATGAATGCAACTGGTGTTCCAGGATGGTATTGTGGAGCCTCTTTTATCACCTTGGATGTTCACCGCACATTTGCAACCTCCCAGGTTAATTAATTAGGCTCCCTTCCCCTATTTCTTTCTTTCTTTCTTTCTGAAGATGATGATCATCATCTTATTAAATGAGTAATTGAATTGAATAGTGTTGTACTATTGTATGAACAGATTGATTATATTCTAGGTGCGAATCCCATGAACATGAGCTACGTGGTGGGGTATGGGAACAAGTACCCGAAACATGTGAATCACCGTGGGGCATCCATACCTCATGACAAGAACAAATACTCTTGCACAGGTGGCTGGAAGTGGCGTGACTCCTGCTACCCCAATCCTAACACCATTACAGGAGCCATGGTTGGAGGCCCTGACCGCTTCGACAGATTCCAGGATATCCGCACCAATTTCAGCTACACTCAGCCTACAATGGCTGGTAATGCCGGTTTGGTCGCTGCACTTGTCTCCCTCACTGCCTCTGGTGGCTATGGCATTGACAAGAGCACCATGTTTTCAGCAGTTCCACCACTGTACCCCCTGAGCCCACCACCACCGCCGCCATGGAAGCCCTGAAAATTCATTCCCAACGTATACCACTTGTATATATACCTATCCTCCTCTGGCCTGAGCGTCTTCATAAAGTTCATTGTCTTAAATTTTATTTTATTTTCATTTTTTTTCCGTTTCAACTATTTGTGCTCTTGAATCATACTCTGGATTTACCTGCTCTCCTGGGCACATCTCATTTACAGCCCATCACTTATTTTCTTTAAAAAAAATTATAAATAATATGGAATATTACATATAATGATTTATATTTATTAAAAATTATAAGATATAAGATAAAAATAAACGAGTACAAATTAATATTAAGTATTATATTTTTAGTATTTTAATTTTATTATAAAAAAAATTAAATTATATATGTTATATACATATAAATATATTTAATAAATATAATTGAGACGGGAGTCGGGTAAAATAGGATAGGGGAAGAAAAATCTGTCCTCGCCCCACTTCCTCATCAAGGCGGGAAAACCCGTGTGGAGTGGAACAAGGTCGGGGAAAATGACCATTCAGGACTCTTTTCAAGACTAATTCAAAATAATTTCAGTGAGAATATATATCTCTCTCCATATATATAGTAAAACTAAAATAAACTAAATATTAGGTAAGAGAGAGAAGAATTATGTAGGCATTTCACAGATACAATGATGAGTACTACATGATAAATTGAGGGCGTATAAATTAATCAGCCTTTCCTCATCTTTAGTGCAAGATAGAACAAATGCATTGCAAACAGATATCACTCAAAAAGAAAAAACAAAGAAAGATTACATGGCTCAAAAAGCCTAGAACATCAGAGACAGAGACCTGCCTGACTTCATCAGGAGACTCGTTATTTTTGTGGATATTATTTGGTGCAGATAGGACATGGTTGAATACGACAGCATAATTCCGATGCAGTTGAAATCATCTTCAGCTTTATTGCATATAACAGGAACCTGGGTCTTGTGGGGCAACTCGACCAGGTCCAGCTAATGGAGCAGCAGCAACTCCTCTCTGATTCAGCAAACACCTAAAGTGTGCTAACCTTCCAGTGATTTGCCGAGGATCCTTTGCAAGGTTGTCATAAGGTGACCAAAGCCTCTCTTCATCCAGGGAAAAAATAAGAGGTTATATGCAAAACAATAACCAAAAAATAAGTAAACTTTCAGAAGACATCCACAAAAATAACTTTTAAAAAAATGTCTTTTGACAATTGAAATTCATTACCGGAAACATCATATCCTGGTAAAAAATATTATTTTTATCAAATTTATCCATTTTCTACTTCCCCTTTAATATCCTCCTTTCTCCTTCAATTTTTTCTATCCTAAACCTAAAAACTTCTTAGGAATAGAAAATTGTATAATTTAAATGTCAGACCCCATATTTTTCAGTGAATGATGGAAATATATTAAAAGATTTATGGGGACTATTTCCTCCTATCATTCAGAACTTTGATAATGAGATCAATGGTCCAATCTGGTCATTACTTATGAAGCTCGAAGGTGTCACTGAATACCCCCATCACATGTATAACCTAAGTTTCTATATTCATCGCATGTGTATCACTGCAGAACAGAATTTAACTTTCAGTTTAATGAAAAGATTACCAGCAGCTGCTGCAGCACGTGGCCATATTGTTTGTTCAATATCGGATCCGTCAATATGTTCACCCCACATGCATACCTCACCTCCAATAACCAATTCTTGTTGCTTGGGGTTTGTGATATTTGTGAGTGGTTCATTCATATAGAATTCTGGCCATGTGGTATCCAAATAATGCAAATACCACTTATCTTGGTTGCTTACAATGCACCTCAATCCAGCTGCAACCACTCGCTCTGCAACACCACCCCCAAGCCTGCCACACACACAGTAAGCAAATTGTGAACAATATAGCAACACCAGCCTCAATGTGCTTCTACCTGATATCTCAGGGCAGAAGAAATAATGTAGTAAAGCAATTAATATTATCCAATCCATAATGCGATATCATATTTCCTTTAAATAGTTCTATAAGAATGCACAACAGATTTCTACCCAAATTTCAATAGCTCTGACAATAATCATACACAGGAGAGATGATCTGATTATTGTAGATAGTTTTCATTTGAACTCAACGATCATGTTCATTGCTGGTTCTTCTTCTACTATCAAAGAGTTAGTTGATTTCTCCCCCTCTCATAGCTTTGGACAAGGTTTTCCTCGTTCACCTTTTCTATATATCATTGCAGAAGGTATTTAGTTGTGAACACTCCAACCCGCAACAGGATGCCTCTGCTTATTTTCAAAAGGTTTCAGATCACGTGCCATTTCCCCAAACATCAGGGACGTAGGTGATATTAACAGATTCTCAAATGAGAACAATAAGATACCAATTTTTGTAAAGCCACCTCTCTACATTTGAGAAAAAGAACTCACTGAGGCTAATGCCTGAAAACTAAAAAGCAACTGAAGAACATGGATCTAATCCAATTGAGTTCACATCCAGTTAGACCCTCTCCACAGGGAAAGATATACAGGTGCTGCTTTGCTTTTAGTGCTAATATGACTTCCAACTCTCAGAGCCCACCTACAACCCTAAGATATACCTAATTGTCCCACTACTTTAACAATAATAGTTAGAATAGGATGCACAATTAAACTATTTTAACAACAATAGTTAGATGGCATGAACGCCTTTAGGGCATACCAGTTGTGCACCACAGTTTTCCGGCTCAATTTATCTCCAAAGTTGTTGAAGGTCTCTTCCCTGCAATTCTTTTGTGAGCATAATTTACACACAAAACACAAAATAGAACACAAAATCTCAAAACGAAGGCTCCGTTTGGTTTAAATTTTGAAAAGAGTTTTGAGTTTTGAGTTGTATTTTGAAAGATAAGTTGTTGAAAGAGTTTTGAAATTTGAAAATTTGTTTAGTTATGAGTTTTAAAAATAATTTTAGGATGATTTGTAGTTTTATTTTGATTAATGATTCATTCACCAAATTTATTTAGCCCAAATTTGCCCGAATGACTCATTCAGGCGAATTCAGGCTAAATAAATTTGGTGGATGGCGGTCTTTTTTTTTATTTTTAGTTTTATTTTTTTTAGTTGAATAGATGTGTATGAGAGAAAATTTGATTGATTGATGTGTAAAATGTGAGAGAATGAGAGAAGAGAGATAAAAGAGAAAAAATGACTGATTTATTTATTAATAATAATAAAAAAAAAGAGAACGAGAGAGTAGAGAAAAAATAATTTTGAAAAGAGTTTTGAAAATTTGTTAACCAAACATGTTTTTTGATTTTTTGATTCAAATTTTAATTTAAAAACTAAACCAAACACTACCTAAGATTTTTACCAGTTGATAATTTCATATCCATATGACAATGCTATTTTCTGAGCCCGCAGGACAAAGTACTGATAAGCTTCGGATTCATTCAGAGCATGCTTCTGTAACCTGAAAGTCAGAGAGTTGGTTTTTGTAGATGTGTGAGAATGGTTTTCCCAAGTGATCCTCGTGGAAACATTTTTCTCATGTAAACCTTTAACACCAGCAATATAACTTGACCACCAATGGTGGGTGCAGACAATCATTCACAAATTGTATGTTTGAGTAACCCAAAGAGTAATGCTATTTAGCTTTTGGACACAACGACAGGTCCAAATTGATTTACAGAGCTAAGAATGACTAGCATAGTACTGTAAATCAAGTGTAAGAGGTCTGAAAACGGAGTAAAAGAATTTGTATCACTGAAGAGGCAAGAAAATGTAGATAGTAAGCTGGAGGGAAGGGGATTAGCTGTCTGGGTGAGAGCAGGGCTAGCAAATCACAAAAGGATATGGCAGTAGTCAAAGTGGCAAAGACGACTCCTTTCCCAAATAATCTCTTTCGAGTTGTGGGAATTGTATCATAGTTATAGGCATTCTTGGCTCACGAGGAGGTCAAATAGTCAATAGGGTGATGCCATGTGTCTCAAGGATCACGTGGGAATATTCCTTCCCCTAACTGCTAAGTCGTGGTGAGTAGGTACTTCATAAGTCCCTCGGATCGACCTTCTCAGGAAGACTACTTGGGCAATCCCCTACTCTTAGCCACCAAGCCACCTGATCCCCAATGTCCCAGTATGTGTCATAGTATAGTCTTGTACCAACCACACTATGGCCGCACAACAAACTTGAGGGGCTTCCTGAGTCCTACCATCTCAACCGAGGTAGACTCACTTTGTCGGGGTGATTTCATCTATGAGGAGGTATTTTTTGCTTTCAGATCTCACTCTCGCAATCTTCAAGCGAGCCATGATTTTGACATGCCCCTGACACTTTTGATTGTCACAAGCCCTTTGTCATTAGTTCTAGGAGGATTCTGTTCTTAAGGGGTTCCCCATTAGGTTCTAAAAATTACAGATTCCCCCTCAAGTTAGTATTTGTTGGTTAACAGAAGTAACAAAATAATTGAAATTAAATATTTGCTAAAGGTTTTTTTTTAAAATTCTTGATTAAGTAAACAAATAATTTGATAAAGGAAGCTAGAATTATAGAAGTCTGAATTTCTTTTTAATGATGGTAGTTTGATATTTATGTGTGTGCATGTGTTGGTGCGAGAAACAGAGGATGATGAAGGGAAGAGGCTGAAAGAGATTGGGAAATGAAAAAGAAGTGAAAAAATGAAAAAGAAATAGTACTTTTCCAGTTACAAGTTTAAAACTGGTATTTCAACAATCCATTCATTTAGCTTAACAGTTGACTAACAGAAGGGGGCATTTGTAATGCAATTGGAAACTTCATGGGGCAGGGGGGAATTCTATTTCTACACACCCTTTTGTCTCTGTGTATACATTTAGTGAAAGACAATTTTAATGACAATTTTACCATAAAGCAAAATGACCATAATGGACATCAATACACACTAAATATGAAATCCAAGTTTTCTCTGTATACATCTTTTAAAACAACAATTCTCAGTGCACATCTTTTGGAAAAACAAAAAACTGCAACCTAGTTCCTCCATTGTTTCTCACTTCCTCTATTGTCCTCCATTGCTTGCTACACTCCATTGTTACACTCTATTGTCCTCCATTGCATGCATAAAATACTCTGAATTACTCTCTAGGTTCATACTCCGTTGTTTATACCATTTTCCCATTAGAATCCACCATCATTCTTGATTTTATTGATGGAAGATTTGCAAAATATAAAAAATTCGGAAGTACAAAACCGAATAAATGTAAAAAATTCGGAAATTAAGTACCGAAAACCTATAACCAATTTGGAAGTATAGAATCGAAATGTTCAAAAAAAATCGGAAGTAAACAAGCCTATTTTATTTGGAAAACCAATACCGAATGAGCAAAACCAATTTTATTCGGAAAAAATCAACCGATTATCGAAAATGAGAGATAGATACACATTACTTACGAAATGGAAGGAAGATATGAAATGAGAAAAACCAAATTTGTTCTAATAACTACGAAATGGGAGGGGGATACACATTAATTACCTTCAACAATGTAATGGAGCTCAATATAGGTCTTCAATGGAGTTGTGTTTTGCTGGAACAGTCACCGTGGGTGGGTGGTGTGTGGAAAAGTAATGTGTGGGTCTCTAAAGGGTTTGAAGGTGTGTGCAAAACCTATTTAGATGGTGTGTGTAAAAGATGTAAGTTAGGGGTATAATTAGAACATGTGGTGTGTGGAATGAGAATAACAACATATAACCAAATTTATAAGTGTGTGAACTGAGATATGATGTGCACAAAGATGGGTGTGTGAAAATAGAATTTCCCTAGGGTAGGAGGTAATTTCTAGAATCTCAAGGTGTCAAATGTATATTTCAAAAACCTTACGAGAGCTAATTGTAATTTACCTGATTTATAAATACGGTTCAAGGAAGAAACAAAAGAAAATCCAACAAAATAGGAGGGCTTGCTTTGAATTTCTCCTACTTGGTCAAATTTGACGCTCATTTTTCACCTACAAGGTCAAATACCTATCTAAGGTAGTAAAGATCACAAACAGATCAATACGCAGAGCACCATTCATTTTTGGTAAATGTTTTCAGTTAGTTTAGAACTGGAACAATTGGTATGCATTTAAGAAAGATAGTAAGACGCAAGTAAAAATTCATTAGTGCCTAAATGTACAACAAATGCTTGAATTTTCATGAAAACATTCATACGTGTGAAATGGTGAAACAAGACATGGTTGGATACAAAAAATAAGCCTGCAAAATTTAGAGCATGACACCCACCCAATTTAGAGAACAGGCGTGGAGTTATACTAAATTTATTTGGTTCTTTAATTTGCTTTTGCATTTGTATGCAGGCTGCATCTCTTGATGCTTTTTTCAATAAAATTTTACTTGTATTAAAAACAAACAAACAAATAAACAAACAAATTGTGCCAGAACATTGCCAAAACAGTGCAAGGAAATCAAGAACTACATTAATGTCAATAGCTAATACTCCACACACCACCTCCAAATGCAATCCACCCGCCCCTCCACACCAATAAAATAATAAATGAAAAAGAAGAAAGATATTAATTGAATAGTTCTCGTACATTGTAGACACCCCATTTTTGACCGACCTTAAGACTCAGACATCACTGATTGAGCGCTTGGTGATATTGCATATTGTGCTTGTTCTGAGGTTTCAGAGTCTCGGCTGCAAGCCTTGCCTCCGGACTTCGGGGCTCTTTTGTGCTTTGCCTCGGTTTGCGAACCAAGTCCTGTTTTCTCTGTTTTCTCTTCCCGAAGGGAGGGAGAGGTCTTGAAGACCATCTCTCGGTGGCCGTAGGCTACGTTTCGTGGTCGTAAGCCATTTTTCCCATTTGGAGCCCAGTTTCCAATTTTCTGAGCTGTCAGCCGTGTGCCTCGGTTCGGGACCGCCTAACTACCTCCGTTTGCTCCGGTTTTTGGCACACACCTTATTTCCTTTCCCTAGAGGAACACTGTGGCCCGAGAGACCACCTTTGCGGTCGTACGCCACTTCCGGTGCCTAATAGCCTGTTTTCGGGGCCCCGGACTGCGCGTTTTGGCCCCTGAACCTTCGTTTTGCATCCATCTTGGTCCATTTTTGGTAGGGACCCTATTTTCATGGTTAGGAAGGTGGTGGGATGGTGGCTGGCCACCTTTTCTCCTGAAAAACCAGTTTTCTCTTTTTCTCTCTCCAAAAGCCAGTTTTTCTAACAGAAAGCTGGTTTTTCTCACTTTTGAGCCACATTTTCTGGCTTTTCATACCACCATTGTGTTGTGCTCATCTGGGAGGCCACCAATATGGGTAGGCCGACCAGCATTTCATCTTGACCCTTTTGAACCTTGCTAAAAAGCTGGTTTTCCTCTCTCCTGGGTCACATTTTCTAGTTTTGCACCATACAGCTGTGTTGCACTCATCTGGGAAGCCACCTTTCTAGGGTGGCCGGCCAGTATTTCTCCTTGACCCTTTTGACCCCTGGTCGGCCGACCAGGGGGAGTGGCCGGCCGGCCACTTGAACTGGCCGGCCTGCTTCCTGCTTTTTGCCCTCTCTAAGTGCATCACAGCTGTGCCAACTGTGAGGCAATTGGACCATCCTCCATACACGCGTATGGAGGATATTTGGAGCTTCTAAGAGAAGCTTTAGAGCCTCTCCTCTATAAAGGGGAGGCTGATCTCCATTTGCAAGGGTTGAACAATTTTGCTTTAAGGCATATATCCTCCATCCTCCATAACTCACTCTTCCAAGCTCCAAACCCTAGTTTTCTTGCACCATTTGCACACCAACCCATAGCCTACCACCTCCATTATCCATTCCAGCCCCTTGGAGATCATTTGCAGAGGTTGAAAGTTCACCACCTTGGTCCAAAAGCTGCTGGAGGCCGGCTCTACAAGGGTAAGCTTCCATATTCCCCATTTTTGCATCATTTTGCTCTATATCTTAGCTCCTTTTGCTTGCATTTTTGGGCTTTGACCTGAACTGAAAATAGTCTTATTTTGAGCTCATCTTCATGTTTGATCAAGAACTTTTTTCTGTTTGAAGTCTTTTACTCCCCTTTTGTGCTTTATCTCTCTTTTGGGGCTTATCTTTGCATGATACATTAGCCTTATTTGTGAGCATTTCTGGGTTTCAAGCCAAACTGTAAAGTATCTTATTTTGAGCCCCTCTTCAACTTTGTTGAAGGGCTCTTTGCTGTTTGAGGCCATCTACTACCCCTTGCCCTCTATCTCTCTTTTAGGGCCATTTTTGCATCATGTTTTAGTCTAACTTGTGAGCATTTTCGAGATTTTTTATAAACTGGAAAAAGTATTGTTTTGACATCCTCTTCAAATTTGATTAAGGGCATTTTTCTGTTTGGGGTCATCTTCCCCTTTGCATGCTTCATTTCCTCATGATTAGGGCTATGCATTAGAGCATTTGCATTGGCCTTGGTTTGGCCTCTTAGCCACTGAAATCCAGTAAATTTTCAGTGGCTTAGGTGTGTTCTTGAGCCTTAAAATCAGAGGGGGGTGACCCCCTCTCTCCTTGTCTTGTTTGGTGGCCTTTTGGGCCTTCCAAAGGACCCCCTATTTGCAAGTTTCAAAGCTTTGTTTCTATCATTTTTCAGTAGGTTTTAGGACCCCCATAACTCATTTTCAGAGTTGGTTTTGCTATGCTAAGTATCCTTGATGCATGTGTAGAGTAACCCCTCTTGTAGCTTATCAAAGGAGCTCATCGTTCTTGCATGTGTAGACCTCATTTCAGTGGGTATTTGGGCATGTTTTGACATGTTTTGTTCACTGTTTTTGGCTGGTTTGGTGAGATTTCATATGCTTCATATAGGTGTGGTATAAACCATGCTTACTAGCCAATCTTGCATATTGTTTTAGCCCTACATGTTAGCGTTTTTTGGCCATGCTTTAAACTAGTATTGTGCATATTTTGGGACTGCCTTGGCTCTGTCTTTGTGCTTCATGGTCAAATAATGCTTGCTTTGCATAGTTATAGTTCAATACATGTGCCTAATTTTGAGTTTCGGGGGCTATTTCATGCATTAGGTGGCACATTTGCATGTTTCGGGACCATTGAGCATCATACTTCAGTGCTGGAACATATGCCATTGTATGCCATAATTCATCCTTTCAATGCCTTTGTGGAGTTGTGTTTTGTGCCTTAGACTCAGGGCCATTGCATTGTGCATGTTTGCATGCATCTTGGTTGCCTCATTTTCATCACATGGCCACTGATTTTGGCATGCTTGCGAGCTATCCATGTTAGTTTAAGTCCATCATCGCATGTTGTTGCATGCCATGTTTTCTTACATGTTTAGGTTGCGTGCCTAGTATACATTGCTCATTTGCATGTTCATGTTGCATACTTAGCCTCCATGCCTAGGTTGCATTTCATTGAGCATGCATCCCTTGCCTCTTGAGCAATCATGATAGGGGTTGGGGCCCTTTGATGTGTTTTGTGCTTGCATTTCATTTGATATTGAAGTTGCACACTTGACTTTTGGGTCATCATGCATTGAAATGCGTGATTGATGGCCCGGGGATCGAGGGCCACACTCCCTTGAGTCCATTACATGATTGGGAGAGTGGCTATGCACACATTGCTTTGAAATTCCATGCCATACACTGCTTGCCCTCTGCTGCTGTCAACTGCAGGATTCTGCAGGAAGCAATGGCCGACCGGCCACATAAAGTGCCAACCGGCCACCAAAGTCCAGCCAGTGACACCATCTTTAGCCGATAAGCCCATTCCCATGGCCGGTGATCTCCTGTTCTGGCCGGTGACATCCCAGAGCACTCAGGAGGAAGTTCCATAATTTTCAGAAGGGTGAGACAGTGTAAACAGAGGCAACAATGGCATGGTACGGGTTTACGGGCGAGATGGATTCGAGCATGCATCATCCGCGCATTCCGAGACAAGGCTGCGGCCTTTCTGCATTTAATTTGTTAATTAAATTAGAAGTTTTGTAAACAATTAATTTAGTATTATTCATTTGGACTGCAATATTATTCGGACCCTCCGAGTGAGGGTAATTGTGTAATAAGTGTGCGTGGGTGTGTGTATGTCTTCTAACCCCACGTCTTTCTTCCCTTTTATTTACTAGCTTTCGATGGTTAGTTTAGGGCATGTTTCAATTAGCATACTTCTAATAGCATGCGTGCATCCATACATTTGTCTTGCATGCACCGGGCTTGGCGCATCATACTAACTGCATTGTATTTCAATTCCAAGTTGAATACATGTTATCTGTTGCATTTCACATGCAATGTTTAGAATAGTCGAGCCTGTCTAGATAGCATCTTTGCATGTGTTGCATTAGTCATTTTAAACATGAACTAGGATCATGCATATGATTTCTAACTAGTTTCTGTTTTGGCTTGGAGTACTCGATAAGTATTTATGCTTTAGCATCCTTGCATGTGTGTGAGTGACTGCCATGATAGCATGCTTACCATGAGGCTATGTGCTTATGTGATATACCTGCCAGAATGCCTGTGGGTGAAGGTTGGATTATTTGAATTGGAATAATACATTGACTGTGAGTTTTAAGCCCACTTGAGAGTGGTAAATCATCTCGTTTTCTAAGACCACTTAAGGGTGGCAAATCCACGTCTTAGCCTACTTGCGGGTAGCACCATCAAACCATTTTCAAATAAACAAACATGAAATGTTTTGTTCTAATTCAGGCGATCCAGTCTATACTTGTATGCTGTGCGCATCACATAGTAAATCTAGGCTAATAACCGGAATAAGAATGCATAATGTTTTCAAAACTCGATATCATGGTTAGTAGAGGCCAATCTTTGATCGGGCGAGCGGGGGTGCTCACGAAGTGACCTTCCCCAATTGTATCCAAGTTCCTGAGCCGAGGTAACTTTGGTGATGACGAACACGTGGCCTTAGGCAAACGAGTCAGGGTTTCATAAATTTTCCAAAATAAAATATTTACTTGGCGACTCTGTATCTGGCAAAGCAGTCCATGTTTGGCACTTCTTTCAAAAAAATCTGTTTTCAAAAACGATTTGCTGGATTTGGACTCTTTGATGATTCATCGGTCTTGCATTGCACTCTGCGAGATTAGATACAGGACCGTGACATTTGAGTCCTGAATTGTAGTGAGCCCATAATGAACAGAACGGGATTTCCCCCCCGGGACGTTCGGGGACGTCTACATACATATAAACATGATGCAACTTTTTTGACTTCCACAAGAATTCTACTTATGCTAAAAACATCTTTAGGGGTAGAAGCAAGAAACTTAGTGAACAATAGGTATGTAATAACGTAAACATAAAAATTTTAGTTATAAAAAAGAGAAAGAAGTAAGATTTTAGGATTGTTACCATTTTTTTACATGAGGAGTTATAGCCCAGCACCCTGAAATTAATAGTTCAATTGAGTGTCTGAGTAATCATCATTAAATTATCAAGTGCCATTTGAAAATGCTGAAGAGAAACATCGATGTTAAGTTAAATGCATTCTACCAATGTACTCAGGTATTGACAAACAACTCATAGAAAAAAGTGCGCATGTTAAAAAGAGGACACAAACACATTCATTGATATGACACATTGATCATCTGTATCAAGTGAACATTGATCTTTTGGAGATTCGAGGTGATGCACAGTATGCATCTTTTATATTCACTCATAATGGTTTGTGCAATCATATTGACCAATAAGATTTCTCTCTCTGATGTTAAAGTTGTCCACTTAAATGACTGAACTTTGTACTTTCATGCAAGAAGATTGTGAGGAACACTCTCCTACAAGGAGTAAGCCCAAAATGAATGCAATTTGGTAGCATAGGGCTTTATTTACCGCTGATTACAGCTTTTTTTTTGGTGATTAGGAGGTTGGTAAAATATTTGGTCCCTTAGGGTTCATGTCAGATAATATAAAGGTAGGCTCTTTATAGGGAAAATGAGATTTGGGGGGCTGTTTTGGGCTAGTATGGCCTTTTCTATTTCATGAATTCTATTTGAAATTAACAATAAATTGCATAGTATGATGAACAGTAAATCATATAAAAAATATTGAACTCACTGGTGTCAACTTCATCGCCTCCCAAGTGAACAAATTTAAATTTGAAGATCTTACTGAAATCTGCAACGAGAACTTTCAAGAATGTTAATTATTTTCTTATGTTGTCATTAAAAAAAATGTAATAAGTTTCCGTAAGTAAACATATAATTTTACCTGAAAGAATCCCATCTATTACTTTGAAGGTAAATTCATTGCTGACATCAAGTGGCTGCTGACAATCCTTTGACGGCCATAAGGAAGGATAACCAGTCCCCCTAAAGATAATTATACAAAAATAAAAAAAAAATTATTAGCCACTTGGATGAACTTGTGCAAAGCCATCAAGGAAACTGTTAAGTTATGTGCTTGAGGGTAATAGTGTCATTGTAATTATTCCCTTATTATTATAAATACATGTGCTTAGAGAGGTAAGAAACCTAATTAGGTTTTGTGCCTCCTGCCAGCAATTCTCTTCTCTGTCTCTCTCTCTCTCTACTCTTATGTTCCAATTTTAACGTCATATCATAGCAACAATCTTATTTTTATTTTTCTTTTTATTTCTTAATTTATGGGGGTTTGTTCTTGTTTTTTTCCCCTTGTTCTTGATTGGTAATGTAAAAAAAAACCTACCACTATGGTTGACTAGGGTAGGAGAATCACCAGAAAAAAATTTCAATTTTTTTGCTTTTTAGTTGCCTATTTTTTATATTTTACTTTATTTTTAAGAAAAATAAGCCTGTTTTTCGATTGCTTCATTCTAGTGGTATTTGGTTCGATTCAACAGTTGGGTCCCTACTATAAGTGTCGACCACATGCTTGGTGGCCTTAGATGGTTTTTTATTTTATTTTTACTTCCATGTGCCTCAGTCTACGTTACAAGAACTTGAGTGTGGATATCAGGTGCGGGTGCATATCTAGGGGTCGGACACTTCAAAATTAAAAATTGAGGATACGTCGATATGGATCCAGAGTTAGATACACATAAGGGGATACGCTAATTGTTATTTTTTAAATATATTTATTATATAAAAATGAGTTAAATAGTTATTTTTTAAATATATTTATTATTTTTTGTCTTATGTATTATTTTTATTGATAATATTTTTAATTTATCTACATAATTTATTTTTTTATTTTTAATTGACATATATATATTATAAATAAGAAAAATATAACAAATAAGGAATAATAAAATATATTAAAATAAATAAAAAATAAAAATTAGATGATTTATTTTATAGATTTTATTAAATTTTTTTTATTATATAAGATTTAATTAGATTTATTATTATATAATAAATTATATGATTTATTTATTATATGTTAAAAAAGAGGGGGGAGAGAGAGAGAGAGAGAGAGAGAGAGAGAAGAAGAAGAAGAAGAAGAAGACGAGAAGACAGAGAGAGAGGAGAAAATCGTAGAAGATGAAGACAGAGAGAAGACGAGAAGACAGAGAAATAAGAGGAGATCGACACAGATGAAGACAGAGAGAAGACGACACAAAGACACAGATCGACACACAATGAAGTTGATCGACACAGACACATAGATCGACACAAATCGTCGACCAGGTTCTCACCTTGCTCTCTTCTCTTTTGTTTCTTCTGAATATAGTTGTATCCGTTTGTAAAGTGTCATATCCCGCACCCGTACCTGTGTTGTGTCATGTCGACACAAGTACCTCCGAAATTCTTAAAGGGTCTGCTTAACGTAAGCTTCGGTTGATTTTTTTGGGTCTCCACTTGTGTGTTTCTGAATTTCTGCTCCAACGTGGGTATTTTTCTAGCCCTATTTTGTTGTTGTTGGGCTGTCTTGTTTTTTTGGGTGTGCTAGCCCTGTTTTAGGCCATGGCCGATAATGGGTGTAAGATTAGAGAAGAGAAAGCGATAGAGAATGAGTTACCCTAAACCCATCACCCACACAGCCACCATCAATACACCACCCGACCACCATCTGCCATTACCCAACCTGTTCCAGACCATGTTGGCTCCAGCAAAAGACCTTCAGCTACTGTTCAAGGCCTGTTAAGCTCTTCTGACTCTTCTTTGAGTGATTTCAGACTAGCTGACACCCACCCTAGGGTTTTTTGGCTCAAACCGACACCTATCTGGGTATCTTCAGGCTTCTTCCATGGTCTCATAGGTGCTTTGGACTTCCCTCTGGCCTTCTCTTGTGTGTTTCGAACTCTCTGTGTTAACATCTACTAGTTTCTCCACATCATATGTCCTGATAACATTGTGGTTGAACCCAAGACTGCTATTTTGATTAAAGTTTCACCGTTTTTTTAATCATTTTATTTATTCTTTGGGGTGGTAAATGGCCCCATTAATCTAATTGTTATACTCCCATAGTGATTTATGTTTGAGATTGCTTGCCCATTTCATTCTCTCTTTCCATTATTGTGATTAGTGTTGTGTTTTTTAGTTAAGATAGTAGCATAAATATGGTTGATCCATCTAGTGAATCCATTACTTCTCACCCATCTAAAGGGAAGAGTCCCAGTCCAGTTATGACTACTACTTCTGAGAACCTGAACCCTAGCCTCAAAATCACCACCTCGCTGTTTAATGGTCAGAATTACCTTGCATGGTTTCAGTGTCTAACACTTTTTCTGAACAATAGGGGGAAGATGAGAGAGTTCAAGCACTAGATATTTTTGATCCTGCCTATGATCAATGGGAGATTACCAACTCTTTAATCATGAGGTGGCTCATTCCATGGTCCCTGAGATTGGTGAAGGTTATTTATCCATGGAGATTGCCTAAAACGTTTGGGAGGCGGTAGTTGCTACATATTCCCGGAAGGGAAATTTTTCTCAGTCATTTAAGTTACGCTGGTCTATTGAGCGCTCAGTACAGGGAGAGCAGACAATTCTTAAATATTACACCTTTCTGACTAATGGTTGGAAACGCCTAGATCATCTTCTAGATTACAAGTTTGTTTGCACAATTGACTCAATTGGTTACCGGAAGTTTCTTGCCCCGGAGAGAGTATTCAAGTTCCTGGAAGGCCTCAATGTGGAGTTTGACCTGGTTCGGAGTCGTGTCCTTACCATAGATGTTCTTCCATCTCTTTAGGAGGCCTTTGCTTATGTCCAGAATGAAGAGAATCGTCGTTTCGTTATGTTACCACTGACTTCTACAGATCGCTCAGCATTACTTTCTACACCTTCTCGGGATGGGACTGGTTTATCACTTCCTTCTTCTCATCCTTTTGGGAAGGATAATTTGTCCTGTGATTATTATCGCCGGCCAAGGCATACCTGTGAGACTTGTTAGAAGCTTCATAGGACTCTATCACGGGGTCGAGGAGATCGCTCTAGTCATAGAGGCGGGCGTTCTAGTCAGTCGAGAAGACGTGGGTCTCACTCTCGTGCTCATCAGTCTAGTGCTGTAGAGATGCATAATTCAGCTCCGGTTATACAGATTTCTGATCTGGTTTGTGGTATGTCATCTTCTAAGTTTGAAGATGCTCTGCTCAATCTTCTTGATCGTTGGTCTCCTGTTTCTCCAGTTACATCTTATGCTTTTTCTTCGTTTGCTTGTTCAGGTTACTTAGCCTCATCTTGTAGTGCTTTCTTATCCCATAAGGCCTTGCCATGGATTATTGATTCTGGTGCCTCAGATCATATGTCTGGGTCTTCTGATCTCTTCTTAAACTATACACCAGCCTCTGGTCAGGATAAAGTTAAGATTGCTGATGGTACTATTTTTTCTATCTCTGGGAAAAGTTTAATCCGTGCCATCCCTTCTCTACCTGTCTTTTGTTTTACATGTTCTTAATTTTTCTATTAACCTATTGTCATTGAGTTATCTTACTAGAGATTTGAATTGTAGTGTAACTTTTTTTTCCTGATTCTTGTCTTTTTCAGGACCTTATCACGACGAAGACGATTGGCAGTGGTAGAACAAAAAATGGTCTCTATATCCTCAATCAGTCTGACTAGCAGGCTTATCATTCCATCTCGTCTCTATCCACCAAGGAAGATTTATGGTTGTGGCATCGACATCTAGGACATCCATCCTTGTTACTACTTAGACATTTATTTCCTTCTATTCTTATCAAAAATAAAGTCTCTGAGTTTCATTGTGAGTCCTGCCAACTTGGTAAACAACATCGAACCTCTTTTGCTCCTAGTAATAATAATAGTTCAGTTCTTTTTTCTTTAATTCATTCGGATGTTTGGAGTCCTTCTCGTGTGATGTCAATGAAAAGTCATCAATGGTTTGTTACTTTTATAGATGACTACTCTCGTGCTACTTGAGTGTACCTCATGAAACAAAAAAGTGAGGTTTTTTTCTGTGTTTCAAAACTTTTATAAGATTGTTAGTACCCAATTTGGAGTGGTTGTCAAAATACTGCGTTCTGATAGTAAGGGTGAGTACATTGATTCTAGGTTGGCAAAATATTTTTTCACTCATGGCATTATCCATCAAACGTCTTGCAGTAACACCCCTTAACAGATGGTTTACCGAGCGCAAGAATCGTCATCTCCTTGATATGGCTCGCTGTATGTATTTTTCTATGGGCGTACCTCGGGCCTATTGGGCAGAGGCAGTTCTCACTACTACATATCTCATTAATCATCTTCCTACACAAGTCTTACAAAAAAGGAAACCTCCTCAAGTTCTCTTAAGTTCTGAATCTCTGTTTTTCATTCCTCCAAAAACCTTTGGCTGTGTGTGTCTCGTTTACAATCATTCTCCTTCTCGGGGTAAGTTGGATCCTTGTTCTCTCAAGTGCGTGTTCTTAGGTTACTCTCCTACTCAAAAAGGGTACAAGTATTATCATCCTCCCTCCCGTAAATGGTTTGTGTCCATAGATGTCATCTTCTTTGAGTCTTAATCCTACTTCTTGTCCCGTCCAGTGTCCCAGTTATCTCTTCAAGAGGAGTCTTGGAGTGAAGAAAGTCCTGCTGCTTCTATTATTCTTGACCCAACACTGCCACCAACGGTACCTATTATTGCTCCTATTGTTCCTGGCCCAGTACCACCTCCAATGATATCTATTACTAACAATACAGAATTCAATGTTGCCAAGAACAGAGAAAGGCAAGTCTATGTCAAGGATAAAGAAAGGCAAAAAGTTACTTGGATACAAAAGACCATTTCTGATCAATTATTGACGTCTTCTTCTCTTGATGAAAGTCCAGGTAACTCTGAAACTCTTGACATTACTACCTCTAAGTCTGAACCTACTGATCTTGACATCCCCATTGCCAAGAGAAAAGGTATGAGATCTTGTACTCATCATCCCATTTCTAACTTTGTGTCTTATTCTCATTTGCCCTCTTCATATAAAACCTTTGTGTCAAAAATTTCCTCTGCTAGCATACTTAATCATTTTCAGGATGCTCTTACTATTCCTGAGTGGAAACTGGTCATGGTGAAGGAAATAAAAGCACTTCATAAGAATAGCACTTGGGATTTAACTGAGTTACTTGGGGACAAACGAATTGTGGGATACAAATGGGTGTATACTGTGAAGCACAAGGCAAATGGTTTAATTGAGCGGTATAAGGCTCGACTTGTGGCTGAGGGTTTCACTCAGACCTATGGGGTGAGCTACTAAGAGACATTTGCTCCTGTTGCAAAGATGAATTCAGTCAAAATACTTATTTCTCTGACAGCTAATCTGGACTGGCCACTTCAACAATTTGATGTGAAAAATACTGTCATGAATGGTGACCTAGAAGATGAGGTGTATATGGATATTCCTCCTGGCTTTGAAACTCTTCAAACTAAGGGAAAGGTGTGTCGACTTCGAAAGTCATTATTGTAAGTTTTCTGAATGAAACTGTATATTAGATTGAATTAATTGACAAAGAATACATCACTTATATAGAACACTAATTCCTAATCCTAAACGAATACATTACTGATATAGAATTCTAATAGATATAGAACACTAATTCCTAATCCTAAAAAGAAAAAGGAGAACACTGAATATAGGCATATTCTCACAACGAGAATAAACTAACAAGGGAGGAAGAGGAGGAGAAGCAACCAGAGGTGAAGCAGGAGGAGAAGATGAAACAAGCGCAAGAGGAACTGTGGAGATGTACTCTTCAGACGGGACCTCAGAAGGAAATGGATCGATATAAACCAAATCCTTTTTGGAAACTGGGGCGGTGAGAGGAGGAAGCTGAAAGTAAGATAGACGTTTGAGAAAGGTAACATGGTGGGAGACATAAAAGCGACGGGAAACAGGGTCATAACAGCGATAACCTTTCTGAGTGAGACTATAACCAAAAAGACACATAGGACAGACCGGACACTAAGTTTGGTCCTGTCTTTACAGGGTAAAATGACAAAACAAGTAGACCCAAACACACGAAGGAAGAAGTAATTAGGAAGTTGAGAAAACAAAGCCTTATAAGGAGACCGACCAGAAGGAAAGGGGGTAGGCATACGGTTGAGAAGAAAAGCAGTAGTAAGAACTGCCTCACCCCAAAACGGAGCCGGAACGGAGGCAAAGAGAATTAGAGACCTAGCTGTCTCAAGAAGATGACGGTGTTTACACTCAGCTCGACCATTTTGGGCAGGGGTGAGAATATGCCTATATTCAGTGTTCTCCTTTTTGCTTTTAGGATTAGGAATTAGTGTTCTATATCTATTAGAATTCTATATCAGTAATGTATTCGTTTAGGATTAGGAATTCGTTTAGGATTAGGAATTAGTGTTCTATATAAGTGATGTATTCTTTGTTCAATTAATTCAATCTAATATACAGTTTCATTCAGAAAACTTACATGGTATCAGAGCCATCGCCGAAACCCTAGAAGCCAATTGCTATTTACGGACTCTGATACCATGTAAGTTTTCTGAATGAAACTGTATATTAGATTGAATTAATTGAACAAAGAATACATCACTTATATAGAACACTAATTCCTAATCCTAAACGAATTCCTAATCCTAAACGAATGCATTATTGATATAGAATTCTAATATATATAGAACACTAGTTCCTAATCCTAAAAGGAAAAAGGAGAACATTGAATATAGGTGTATTCTTACAATTATATGGCCTCAAACAGTCCCCTAAGGCTTGGTTTGACAGATTCACTCAATCGATGCTAAAATATGGCTTCCAACAGAGTCAGGCTAATCGTACTCTGTTTGTTAAACATTCCTCTCATGATAAGACTACAACTCTCATCGTATACGTGGATGACATAGTGCTTATAAGAGATGGTGTTGAGAAAATCCCTTTGTTAAAGAAGTATTTGGCTAGTAAGTTTGAAATCAAAGACTTGGGAAACCTGAAGTACTTTCTGGGGATTGAAGTGGCTAGGTCCAAAGATAGGATTTTCATCTATCAGAGAAAATATGTCCTTGATTTGTTGAAGGAAATAATGATGCTTGGAAGTCAAGCTTGTGACACACTACTAGAACCTAATCAGAAACTTTGTAATGATAGTTGGGGAGCAGCCGTTGATAGGGGGAGTTATCAGAGACTAGTAGGTAAGCTTATTTACTTAGCCCATTCTCGTCCTGATATTGCTATTGCTGTTAGTGTAGTTAGCTAGTTTATGCATACTCCTCATGAAATACACTTGGCTGCAGTTATGAGAATTTTGAAATATTTGAAATCTTCTCCTGGAAAAAGTCTTTATTTTTCCAAACATGATCATCTTAGTATGGAAGCTTTTACGGATGCTGATTGGGCAAGATCAATAATTGCTAGGAGATCCACTTCAGGGTATTGTACTTTTGTTGGAGGCAATTTGATTACTTGGAAAAGTAAGAAACAGAATGTGGTTGCTAGATCTAATGCATAAGCTAAGTTTAGAGCTATGGTAGAAGGTGTGTGTGAGTTCTTGTGGATCAAGTTGTTATTGTATGATCAGGGAATTGACCAGAAAGACTCCATACGACTATATTGTGATAATAAGGCTGCCATCAACATAGCTCACAATCTTGTTCAACATGACAGGATAAAGCATGTTGAGATTGATCGCCACTTCATCAACGAGAAACTCACTAGTGGCACAATATGTACTCCATTTGTGAAGTCTGGGCATGAGAGATATCTTTGCACCAACTTGAGGGAGAGTGTTAGAATATATGTTAGGATCATTCTATTATTTGTTTCCTTATTTATTATATTTTGATTCCTTAATTAGTGCTTTAGGATTTTCTTATTCTATTAGCTGTTATTTCTTTATTCTATTATTTCTTTATTTGTGCCTCCAACTTCCAAGGTTTCCATTGTGAGCTACCTATTATCAATATAAAAGAGAGTGATTGTCTAATCATTCTCTAAGTTAGTTTTCTCTCAAATAAACGGTCAACACATGTCAAAACCACGAAGGAGCTGTCCCTGAACCCAATTTTGAACATGATAGATATGTCTAACACACTTGTGAAGGTTTTAAAACATCCCACCATCCACTGTATCCTTTGTGCTCATAAACCTTTCTAGAAGAGAATTTGACAAGAAAAATAGCTTTTTGATCTCACAAAAGCTAAAAGAAAACAAATTTTTAGTTGCAATATACATAAGGTTTTGAGGCACTTACCACCAGAATAGACCTTCCCATTTTCACAAGCTAGCAAAATACAGTCAATGGGTCAAAATTTGTGTTATGCATATCAAGGTATAGAAATCAGTTAGGATTGTAAATTTCTCCTCTTTCCCTCTGCTTATCCGAAATCCTTTAGATTCAAGAGATTTTCTCCAAATCTCCAACTTTGTGTTAACTCCTTCTCTAGTCTCATCCACTAACACAATATCGTCTGCAAAAAACATACACCATGGCACATCATAATTATGATCCACAAAAACATTTTATAAAGTTTAATGCGTGCAATAGGATCTGAGAAAAGATAAATGAAGGGAGGAAAATTGAAATAAAAACGTTCTAGAAGCCTCTTTACACCCCCACACACCTAACCAAAAAACAAGAAACTAACAATAGATGATAAAGAAAGATTTTCATTATCAACTTCGATTAAATCATGGAAAGGAATTTCCTTTGACATGGGAACAGGAAGATGTATATAACAAACGTGATGAGTACAGGCATTAATTATAACTACCAGGAGAGAGCATGTCCTGGAACATCAATTTCAGCCAATACATTAATACCTCGCCTCTGAGCATAACTGCAAAGAACAATATTCAAGAATTCAGGAAAGCACAAGTTAGAGATCATATCTCCATTTAGCCACTAACAAGGCAGAGATCACTTGCCTCACAATTTCAGCAGCATCAGCCATTGCATATCGTTCGGAAATAGAATAAGCCCCGAACCATAGTTTGGGATATGAAGGTATCTCCAAAGGGAAAGATTGGGAATCTACAATATGCCAATGTAGCACATTCTGCATGAAAACAATCGGGAATTGATGATGTAGGTTAATTTAGCAAACTATCAGATGTCAAATCAAATTATGTACTTATAATTACATACACCAATCACAGGAACTAAATGCCAACTTAGGCTTTAAACTATCTTGAAATCGTGTGGTCGGTACTTGTTTGTGCCTAGAGGGGGGTGGAGGAGGTGAATTGGCCAAACTCAAAACTATTAACCAATTTTAGTTTACCAAGTAATTATTAAGTCCAAATTCAATGTTCGGTAGCGATCAAAATCATGCAATTCATGAAAAATATAAAGAACAAGTATGCACATGAATGGAAACCATAAGGAGAACACTCCCCAAGGACAAAAATCACGATTCCAACAATAAAAAAAATTCATTATTGAATCAAAAATCACGAGACTCGAGAAGCTAGGAATTACAACTCTGTACTCGATTCACCTAACTCTAAAAGTCATCCGCAAACACTCCTTTGTGGCTCTGACACAGTTGACCTCTTCTGATCCAATAGCTCAACATGAGGCTCCTTGATCCTATCTCCATACACCCACGACTCCATTACCAACAGCCAAGGGTGTGGGTTTTAATGCAAAAGCACTCAACTTAGAAGATTCTCAAGTATTTATGTTTCTATATTAAGAAAAACATGGAATTCAAATCAAAACTCCTTGAGTAAGGTTTTGAAGCTCTTTAAAACTCTCAAGGACTCAATGGGCTACTCAATCTCATGTTTACGTTCCCCTAGTTGAAAAAAACAAGGTCCATATAGGTTTTAGAATCGCATGGCTGCTTGAGCAGATAGCAAGCAATGCTCACAGGATCTCTGCAGGTGCCTTTCAACTTGAGCGCTTTGTAAAGAACATAGCAGTCGTGTGTGCCTGCTCGAGCACACATCTAGTGAACCTTGCAAGATCTGCACAAATCAGCACTACAATAACATTGTTCAGAGCACATGACTTATTTACACTCCACATCATTTAAGTATACGTGTAAATAACTTAAAAGACTCTTCTAGGAATGAGAAAGAACTTAAAAGACTTCAATTTCGAGACAATGGCCAAAAGGGGTGTGTGGCTTTAAAGGGGCAATGTGAGAAAAAGAAACATGTTACTGTTAGTACGCTTTTTTTCTTCATGAAAGAGTTCAGGAAGGAGTTCGATAGTATAACGTATACAATCCTACCTGTATCGTACTACAATTTTTAGAATGTGGTCAACCAAATTCCAAACTCTCATTCTACGTACCAAACTGATCCACATCGTGGGAAACATTATTCTCTCCCCATACAAGAGGAGGTCACGCATGAGGCACCTTGGAGAGCTTAACATAGTGCTTGGCCCATTTCCTAATAGATCAAGCTTTTGAGGCATCTCTTGTCCAACAAAAGGGAAAATGCCCTCTATATCATTTCATATGTCTATTTTCAACCAACCTGATCATTTAGAACCAATTTCTCAACTCAATAAAAAAATAATAATAATAAATCACAGAAGGGCGACCCAATGCACAAGGCTCCCGCTAAAGGGGGGATACAATTTTTTTTTCCCACCAAAGTGACCTAAAGTCTTGGAAAATTGGGGTTTACAGGCCAAGCAATATTGGAAAAGTAAAAAACGAATCCATTTATATGAAAGTCAAAAGTTTAAAAAAACTAATATACATAAAATGAATTTAAATGAATTTGTGTACTAAATTAAATTTGACATGAGTGTATGTAACAACTTAGTCACAGTCAAACTAAATTTTGAGAAATCAATCATACAAAGCAAAATAATAAAAAAGGAAGAGCAGACCAAAAATAATGCTAAGAAATTACAAAGTCAATTATCAGGTGGAGCTGCAGCTAGCGTTGGCAGAGTCCCAATATAAGACACAAGCTAAAGCTTTAATAGATGGAAAGAATCAGGCCATTCAAAGTGGCATTGACACACGCTGAGTCACTGAGCATAAAATTAGTGAAAAGGCAAGGACATGACAATATGTATTCCTGATGATCGATTCAACCTTTGATCAATCATAACCATACCTATAAAAGTATACGGCTGGAAATTTGTGTTAATGCATATAATAAGATAGTGGCATGTATATAATATGATAGTGGTGTTGGTGGTAGATAGTGGCATGTATATAATATGTTAGTGGTAGATAGTGGTAATATATAATATGTAAGTGGCATATAATGGGTTATAATGATGTTTGTAATATCTCCTATATAAGGAGTGTCATTTGGTCTTGTAAAATAAGAAGTTTTGAATATAACAGAAATATATTCCTTCTTCCTCATATTTTCGGAGTTCTTCTTCCTCATATTTTCTAAGTGTTTAAATTGCCATTAATTCTGGACATGATATCTAACACATATTTCCCCTTTAGAGGTTCCTTTGCTTAATAAGCTAGCACTAGTCGCAAATTAAATCTTAGCACAATACAAGACAGGGATACATGAGATACCCTCCATTTAAAAGGCTTTATCCTCATATGGAAAAAGAGTCTATGCAATAACTCAAGAGTTAGAAAGGTTGTAAGAAAACTAAGCCTGTTATTGTTCTATAACACATACATGCAAAAATGTGCAGGATATATACAAGTATTTGGAGACCGTGTTTTTTGCAATTTGTGCAGTGAAGATATAATTGATTATAGGCATCTGAGTTTTGAAGTGTAAAGTTTCCACCCTAACACATTTAAGCCTCTAAAAGCACAAGTCTCACGAGTCTCCTGAAATCAATTATTTTATATTTTCCTGAAATCATTTTTGTTAAATCAATTGTTTTATTTAGCATCAGTTGTCCCCTACAATGCCTTGGCACCATGGTGGCCCTTGAGAAATAAATGCTCAATAGAAGGACTCACTGTGGCAACACAGAGAGAAATCATACCATCATAGTGAAGGTACATAACTTCTTGTCACAAAAGTGCCAAGATTGAGAAACATGTGACTTCACTAATCTCCATCAAAAAGGTTCTACTTCAAGTCTCAGTCCAGCATTTGTTTTCCATCTTAATAATAGCCCTCTCTTTAGCAGTACAATATCATGCGTTCACAACCACATGGCGTGTGACCAATTTGGACCACCAACAAAGCCATCTTTCTGTTTATTAAAAACACTACCAATATCCATGGCTCATTCCATTCAATTGAAAAAGGGAGGTCATTTGGCCACACTAGCTGAGTTTCTAGATCAAGTTGGGCATCCATTACAGACACTAAACCATTAGGGCAGACAAGGGATTATAATAAGTTCCATGAACTCTAGGCAGACTAATAGATGGTCTGGTGGGTCAATGATTCTCCTTAGGTCCATAGGTTTACCTCTTTCCACAGGCAATATGTCAAAGGATGCAGGACAACTTTCTTTGAAGTATAAGATCTGCAACAAAAAAAGTTCAAAACCAGTGGCAAAATACTGTAGAATGCCATGAAACTGAATGGAAATCCAAACTTCCTTGAATAAAAACAATCTTTGTCACTACCTTGTGCCTCCAATGTTCTACATCAACAATAGCAGATATAAAATCCCCCATACATACAAACAACATAGCAAGATTAAATGCCAATTTTGTTAGCATGAGCAGCGATGCCTCAAAATTCTCCTGTCATTAAACATATATAAACCATTCCACACATCATATAAACAGTGGAAAATTCGTATTACAGGTTTTCTAATCATAAGCACTTGGAAAATTAAACAGACCACACAAGTTATGCATTACATACCAACTTTGTGTAAGCCATAGAATCAATAACCTTCTTTATCATTGGAAGTGGCTGATAGTGTCGAGATGTATCTGCAGCATTATCATTCATAAGTTAGAATAAACACATTTAGCAAGACGGGGGGGGAGGAGAGATCTCTTGTGAGAGTTTTGAAGATGCTATGAGATTGTTTGAAGTCATTGAAGCAAACTTATGTGAACACCGCAATAACCTTGACACTAGATGTGGTCATCTTTCTAATCCAACAGTGCATGCAGGCGACCAAGGGTTCATCCTCTCAATAGGACAGAAAGAAGGAATCTTCCTATGAAGAGCCTAGATGGTTTCTGAAAGAAGATGATGCTTTCAACAATTTTATATGGAATCTGACCAATAACAGGTTTTAAGTTCCAGTTCCCATTGTTATGGAGTAATTCTTGAATTTTTCTACGTTCATCAATGAACTTGAGCTTATGGATCTTCCACTTCTTAAGGTGATTTCCACTAGAAGATTCTATCCCCTCTATCTATTCTTCTTCTTACACTACTCTTTCTGTTACAATCCCACATAGCCTAACAATAGGCTTGGTCATGTGAATATAAGCCTCACGAACACCCTACCCTTGCAAGCCGGTTTTCAATGGTGAGTTTTACCAAAAGCTTTGTATCATTAGGTATCAAAGTCAGCTACCACGTCGAGTATAGGATCAAATGCAACCAGTGCGAGTATAGGATCACATGGGTTTCGTCTTTGTTGTTCGAACTACAGAAGGGGAAACCAATAGGATGGATGGATTAAGACACCCTGGTATTGTGTATGGGTATCATACTCTATTATTAGAATCGAATCGTACGATTCGATTCGATTTAATAGGTAATTGATACGAACAGGTTGTGTGAATCGCAAATAGTTGTGAATCATAGGTGCATCGGTGAACCGAATCGGTGAATCGTGAATCATTAAAATCGATATTTGGCTTTCTTTTTTGATTTTTTATTGTTGGAAAAGGGTTCACACAACCTTTTTAAGGTACTATATGCCATCTTTTGACTTTCTCCCTCCCTATTTACTCTCAAATACTCAAACCTTAGCGGAAAAAAATGAACTCTCTCTCTCTCTCTACAATATTCTAAGCTTACAAATTCAATTTTATCTAAGTACTTGCACTTACAAAATGAATTTTTTGAAGGTATCAAGTGAGATTTTAGAAAAAAAAATTAAAGATTTTGATTTTTAACCTTGTAAAAAGTTAAAAAAACTTTGTTGTTAAGTTATTGTTACTTGGAAATTGAAAGTTTGCCTTTGTTTGCTTTTTTTTTATTAAGAATAGTTGATAAGAAATAATATCTACAAGGGAAAATGTAAACTGGTAAATATGGGAACCCGTATTAATTTCTTACCTAGACCACATGACCATCATTTAAAACAATATTTTCATTGATTTAAGTCTAAATATTTCATAATTATTAGATATATTTAATATCTAAGTATGTAGATATATTTTTCTATGTAATTTAAAAAAGGTAACTAAATCTTTACAATTCACGATTCGATTCGATTCGATTAACGATTCGATACAATACCATTTTGATTCACGATTCAAATCCCAATTTGTCAACTATGGTATCATACTATCACGTTTAACACTAATAGCTAAGTGAAGCCAACAAAAGAGAAAGGTCTTCCAGTGGGTCAGTGTCGATAGAGTGGGTTGTCATGAACGTCGACTGCAAGACGTGGTGGTATACTACGATCCCATATAGCTTAACAATAGGCTAGGTCATGTGAATATAAGCTTCTTGGGCACCCTCCCTTGCAAGCCAGTTTTCAAGGACGAGTTCTACCCAAGGGTTTATCACTTTTCCTTCTCCTACTCTTCTTCTCTTCTTATTCACTATTTCTTCTTTTCTTACTCTATTTCTTCTTCCCCTAATGGTACTACACCAAGGAGACAACATCATTGGAAAGAGACGATATTAAAATTCAGCTCAAATTAAAAGTAAAATATCAAAAACAACCTTCATAAATAATTGGGCATCCAATGTCAACTCCCATAAAAAATGAATATATCCATTGTATGGGAAAGAAATAAACCTTCTCGTATAATCCTGTTGATTAAGTTCGTGCTCCTCCGTACGACGTCGCTTTACTCCCTAAAAACACAAACGTGAGCTAGCCGGCGGGTGTGTGCCGGATACCTCTCCGATGCCTAAGTCAGCAAAATAGACAAATAGACAAAAGCTCTGTGTATTCGAGAATCAAAGTTGTGTTACCTCTCCAAAGGTGATGTTGTGAGCTTTTATAGGTTCCGCGTGGTACAATCCTAGTAGGACTCTTACTCCTCCATGTAGAGTCCTCCTTGGATTCACACTCCTGAAAGATAATGCTTATCCTTCAACACCCCCTCACGACTTAAACCAAGTGAGATGGTTTTTCCATGGTCGGACTCCAATATGACCGAGCTAAGCATAGCTATGCTAAGCCGCAGATCAGACCGGGATAACTCTACCTCGGTTCCTCCTGTACAAACCATAGCATAATTGGACCGAGCTAACAATTAGCATGGTTCCGACCGATCTAATACCACAGCGCCATGACCGGTATAACTTCTAGTATGGTGACCGAGCTAATCGTAGCTTTGGGACCAGAGTAACTTCAAGTCTCTCGCGGACCGGAGTAACTTTACACCTCTCTTGGGCCGGAGTAACTTTATACCTTCCTTGGGCCGGAGTAACTTCATGGCCTTTTTACTCAGCTCTTTGTACTGTGGAACATAACGGCCCATTACCCAGCTCAGCCCAATTTTCATATAAATTACCCTCTCATCCATAATACCGTATCTGGTTATTTAATGTGTCAAGGGAAATAAGAGAAGCATCTCACCAATTAAGAGCCCTCGATAAGAGAACCTTGGCTGATCAATAATGTTCCAAGGGACCTGATGAACTTCAATTACTCTGGTAGTAAAGTTAAAATGGCAAAGTTGGCTGAATGTCTGCAAGATTTCATGTGAAAACATATATTCTAAGATGCAAATATTTATTTCACAAAATCAAGACAAGCAACTTTTACAAGGTGTCATTAGTAAGAACATAAACCTGCAGCCCATGTAAGGCTCCATAAACTGTTTGTGCCTGCATTGTAACAACATAGCATTTAGTCAAACAAAGATGAAAAGCTGCAGATGTGAATGAGCTAACTCTTTAGCACACAACTTGTTGGCAATTTATGCCATTTCAAACAAACCCACAATAACCATGTCAAACACTATCCAGGCACAACACCAAGGCTATAGTCATTTTGACACCTCATATACTTTTAGACACTATGAGCTATGTCTTTGTGCTGTTAATAGATCTATGAGTGGTCCTCAACTGGCAACCCGAGATTTTATCCCAACATTCAGTTTGGTTCGGAATGTTTTAAGAGAACAAAAATCAAAAGCCAAAGGGACAAAGGAACTCAACAAACTTACAAGCAAAGATATTTTAATCTTTCTAAATTGAAAGGACATCCTTAATAAAATCAATAACACCCTATCTTGATAACATGCTTTGCGGCACACAAAAAATAATTTTTAATATCTTAATCCTAAATGAAACAAAAATTTCATGGAAAAACATTACGGATTAGTTAAAGCTAGTCGAGAATATAATTGATGCTGAGTGGAAACCATCCTGGCACTAACTTAATAATGAATGAATGCAGCACTAACTTAATAATGAATGAATGCAAAATAGTCGAGAATATAATTGATGCTGAGTGGAAACCATCCTGGCACTAACTTAGAATAACATAAGCAATAGTCACACCCACCTCAAGATGTGCATAAACCGGATTTCCAGCTGCAGGAATAGATAACTTGTATGATTCATCAATCCCATATTGTAACTGCACAACACAGAATAATTTTTCAGAAAGAGAATTATGCTTTTGTAGAGAAACCAAATTACAGAGATGTGAAATGGTATACATAAGGATTTTCAGTGACAACTACAGGTTCATTAAGAATGAATTAGAAGAACTGAGGCAAAATCAAATGCTCTAGTCATTTCTTAAGGAAATCACTCTTTGGTTCTCAATCTACAATAGCAGTGTGTTACTTTTGAAAATAAATAATAATAAAAAAATACTCTAGTCGTTTCTTTTCTTTTAAAAAAAAAAAAAAGAACATAAAAATAAAGAATTTGAGGAGGAAAATAACAAAAAATGAAGTTTTTTTTTTCAAACAAAGTGACAAGATTGATCTAATAGTATCCCCTAAACCCATATCAAAATAAATAACTAAATCTCTTAAGTATTTTGCCAACTGTCAACCCAGAAAAAACAATCACACCTCATATATTCAACTGTAAATCTGAATAGGCTATGAATAATGAACCGATCAAGGAGTACTTCTGTCAACCGATACCACACACAAAAGAAATTTCTAGGCTATGCAACTAATCAAGGAATACATCCAGATTATTGTCTCCATGCATTTAAAGCTTTTGTCAACATCAACCAATATAGGATATTCTTGCAATTGAAGCAGTGCTTGTGGTGGAAGAACATGTTCAAAAAGTTCCTAATGATTAAGGTTTTAACATTATGATCCAATTTTTGCATGCTTCTCAGTTCTAATACCCTTTTTTGCTAAGACAATGAATGCAATAGCATCTAGGAATACCTTTCATTTTTTCTTCATGATCTTGAGAATACACTTCAAAGTTAGAATTTAAGAGTGGATTAATTAATACTAATCTTGACTAGTTAGAATTATATATGGATTGAGGGGAGTTTGACACCTCTTATGTGTGCACTATGTGCTTGTGTTTTGGACTTCTCCTCTGTATGATAGTTTGCCACGTGTTACAATATACATACTTTTGTATCAATTATTCATAAGAGAGTATATCAGTCATAAGAGTGTTGCTTGTGCAGAATCCTCTATTGTTTGTTTGTGAGAAAGAAAACAACCAAAAGAAAGAAGGAAAAAACAACTAAGGGAAATTCACTACACTTGATTTGTACTGGCTTTAGGTAGGGAAATTCATAATTCTCAACTACATCTGTTGTGTTTAATTGGTTGTATGTGATAAGTGTTTAAGGTGCAACTCTTGTTAATTATGATATCTGTGGAATGAATTGATGCAATGTTTTTGTCGTTATGGTAGACAGTCATAGTGTCCCTACATTTTGTCCCTTATGTCATTTTGGTCCCTACACTTTCAATTGGCTCAATATTGACCCTTAATTTTAGATTTTGTGTCAAATTGATCCAATTGATAATGTCGCTAGTATTTCTGACAAAAAATAATTACTAAATTGGTTGAGGTTAACTCACAAAGGTGAGTAAGTTTATAATTTTGCCTTTAAAAATATAATACGTGCCACTTATGTGCATATTTTTCATAAAAAAAATTATTAAGAGTTGCAATCAATTTGACCAAATTGAGACAAAATCATAAATTTAGGATCAAAACCAAGCCAATTGAAATTATAGGGACTAAAATGACACAAGGATCAAAGTACAGGGACTTCTATCATAATTTACACTTTGATTTAATGAAGTTGAATAGCATGAATAGGGGCATGGTCCCTGGATGAGAAGCCTTAAAAGGATGCGCTAATAAGGGGCATGGTCCCTGGATGAGAAGCCTTAAAAGGATGCGCTAATAAGGGGCATGGTCCCTAGGTGAGAGCCCCTGAAAGGGCATTACATTTCATGTTGTTGACTTGTTATGTAGGTTTAAATGCTATATTGATAAATTCTTGGACAAGTTTGCAAGATTGGTTAGAAATTGTGAATCTATCTACAGAGTTAATTAGTTACTTTATTATTGTATTATATTTTCAGCTAAACCATTGGAAGAACCAAAGTAAGGGGGATATGAAGACTTTTTGCCTTGTTCATATTGTTACTATAAAGTTATGAGTTGTTATTGAGTACTCAAGTGTGATGTACCTGTTGGAAATGGTTATAAATTCTGGGTAAAACAAGAATTTTATCCTAAGTTTGGTCTAATTTTTAGGTGGGCCCCGTGCATCGATTTACGCGGGTCAAAGTGGTAACGCGTTCTATGCCGCGTTGTGATTCACGTGGTATATTTGGTTGCTCAAAACCATTACCGAGTGAATGGAAAATTGAAGCCAAAGTATGCTCCATGGAAATGGAGTTTTGGTGGAAATTCCTTAAGGTTAGAAAATGGCTTGTCCTACATTGATTTGGTGGGAAGTTTTGAATGGGTTTATAAGGCATGGGTTTGGTACTTGGGGGTGTGCCCCAAGGGGTACCCAAGTGTTTTAGAGGGAGAGATTATGGGCAAAATGGGCTAGACCCATTGGACCCAAAAAATCACCACACACGCGTGCCGCCGCCGCCCGTCCGTTCGGTCGGGTGGGCTGGGCCTGGGCTTGGGCGCGGGTACGTGGTGTGAGGTTGGGTTAGGCTGGGCTTGTTCGACCTAATACTAATCTTTTTGGGCCAAAAACATTTGAATTTAATTTTATTTTGTATAAAATAAAATCCATAATTCAAATTAAACTGGTTTGGTCATACTATACATCCAAACAGGGCCCTTCCCGGAAATAAACTGGTTTGGTTTTATTGTACACCCAAACAGGGCCCTTCCCTTTTTGTTATCTGTTTGAATTGTAACCAAACAGATTCAAATCTATTTGAATTCAAAACCAACAGGTTTCATACCTGTTCAATTCAAAATCTACAGCCACCTTTACATTTATAAATAGACAAGTCCCTCATTTGGATTTAGAACTCTAATTTTCGTCCTTCATAATTCTGCAAACATTCTCTTCATGTTGCTGCATTATTTTCTTCTGTGAGAGAGTATAAACACTTAGTGTGTTCGTTAGGCAAACAATTTGTAGTGCTGCTATTGTTTGTAGTAGATTATTTTATCTTGGGAGATAGACGTCCACATTCTGAAAGCACCGTGGAGAGGACGAATCTGTCTTAAGGACACAGTGTCAAACACTGGACTTGATCAGATTATCATTCGAAGAAATTAAATCAAGTAAGTTATTTAATTTATTTTCAGTGTTATTATTATTTATTAAATCCGATTTTATTTTAAAATCTGTTTTTTATTTATGTATTTTTATTTCGAGTTTGATTTTTGTAATCAAACAAATTCTCTCCTTTCCTTTATTTCTTTATATTCTGATTGTTGTTTAGTACACAATAGAATTTAATTTATTTAAATATAGTGAAGATTGCCCAACAGTACCTACATGACAAAACTTTCTCTTTGGTTTAATATAATAGGGTTTGAGAAGGGAGAAAAGGAATCGTGTTGTGAGCTACTTTAATACACTTGTATTATGATTATGTAATAAACATTTCTTTTCGAATCTAAAGCAATTGCTTGCAAATTTTCAATTTGGGGTAAATTACACTTTGCCCCTTTATGTTTGATCACTTTCCCACTTTGGCCCTTAAAGTATATTTTTTCCCACTTTAGTCCTTTATGTTTCAAATTTTTTCCAGTTTACTCCTAAAGCTAATTTATGTTCAAACCTAGACAGAAATGCCATAATAACTATCACATAACATAAAAAATATATGATTATATTGGAGTTTAAGATTATATTAGAAATGTGAATTATATATAATATAATAAAATATTTTTATGCCACGTGATTGGTAATGTAATTTACAGAAATAAACTTTAAGGGCCAAAGTGGCAAAGTGACTAAACATAAAGGGGGTAAAGTGTAATTTACCCTATTCAATTTCTATTATTAAGACCTTGAATGCCAAATGTGGCTTTAAATAAGTTAACTGGTTACACTACTTTATATCAGGCCACAACTAACAGAAACTTCCAACAGAATATCTCACTATTTTTAACTCATTTAAAACCTAAACAAATCTAAACCCTTAACTCTGAGTCACACCTTAGATTTCAAATGCAAAATTTGGGATGTGTTAGGATTGGTGTGGCTTTTGTGTTGAATATGTTCGCCATCAACGCCAAACCTCATATCACTTTTAGTTATTTCATAGTTGGAGACTGAAAGTTGGTCAAGAGTAGGTTGTCAAGTTTATTATTGTAGCATGGTCATGAGAAATGTCTATCCTTCTCTGGTAGTTCTTCGAACTTTGCTAACACTTTGGGGTAATTGATTTCTTTCATACTTACATAGCGGCATCCCCCAAGGGAGTATTTTCTCAATAATTTTTTTTTATAAGAAAAGTAAATACATATAGACATTTGTCACAATTCAACCATATAATAAGGGGAAATATTTTTGTCACATGCAGTATCATAGTTACTCTGATTTTATTTGAACAAGTAACAACAATTACACCAGTGATTTTAATTATTGTAATAATATTGAACTTCATCTTGAAAAATAAATAAATAAAGAAGAAGAATGCAGGAGAATACCAATCTCCATGCATATGTTATTAAGGAGATTCAGAAAAGACAAACAATGATTTTGCTTTGAAAATTTCATAATGTAAGATTTCCACGCATAAATTGATCTCTTGAAGCGAAAAAGAGAAGACCAAGCAAACATTTACAAGAAGTATAATAATACATACAATTCAGCAAGGTAAAACCATTTTAACCCAGCGTGAATCAAGAGAAGTAAGTAAGAAGAAAGAAATGATGCAATCATTAAACAGAACAGACCTCATCATTGAGTGAAAAAATAACCACATGAATTCCCTGAAGCAGGACAGATTGGTCGAAATGGGAAAAGTTGCCATCAACAACATGAGCAGCTTGGACAACATCAAGTAATCTAGAGAATCCATCCTTCAATATCCCAGAAGCGTCAGGATATTTGGTTCCTTGAGTCATTAGCTCAAAGTCCTTACTCATATGAAGAATTTGATGCCCATTGCTTACTGATTGGGGCATTGGCCATATGTTAAGGCGGTGAACATCAACAGCAAATACCGCAAGGACTTGAAGGTAAAGGCCAAGAAGAAGACTTTGAGCCACTAACTTCACCATCCTAAAATTCTGCATATCCAAAATGGAAAAAGAATATATATATGTAATAATAAGAGGAAGGCAGAGAAATTCGAAAGGGTAATTGAGCAAAATTCACATTAGCAGGGAGAGAGAGAGAGAGAGAGAGAGAGAGAGAAAGCAGAAGAGGAAATTATGAGTTTCCCATTTTCTTGCCTCTTCTTCTTTCTTTCTTTTTTTTTTCAATTTAATTTTCATTAAGGCATTAAGTTGTTGCATTTTGGATGAGTGAGTAGGTTGCTGATGGGAATTGATTCCCGGCTTACTCAACAACTGACATTCAGAACAATCCAAACAATAGCCATTCTCTATAAACTACAAGGGAATATCGTTCAAGGTTGAAATGTCGGTCGCTTTTTTTGTTTCTTTGCTGAGAAAATGTGGGGAAATAAAACATATATGGAAATTGTCCAATACTGAGAGATCAGAAGAGAAATAAAATGAAAAATAAATAAACAAAAAATGCAGCCTCTGCACAACTCAACCAAATACAACTATATATAGTGGGAAAGTTAAAGGTGCGTTTTCCTTCCTTGTCATCCAAAATTCTTTCCTAGCAAAGAAACGAAAACTTGGGACGGAAAATGAAATGCTGGAGAATACATAGATAGATACAGAGAGAGAGAGAGAGAGAGAACGTAGGTACAAAATGGATAAGCAAGCAGAGCAGTGATTAGAAGAGAAGAGTCACAGAAAAGTAGAAACCACAACCTACCTTGTTACATACTTACTACTAGAGTAGAGAACGAACGAACTGACCTGAGAAGAAAGAGAAACAAGTTTGGGGCGTTCCCTCTGTGCAATGTCGGAAGAACAAAGTGGGGCGGATGGGGGAATTTGGATAGGAAAAATGGTATAGACCTCTAAAAAAAAGAGCTCTAAAAAGAGTTTTAATTTGTCTTTTTCTTTCTTCTTTTTTGCCTGTTACCTCACGGTGTTTTTTTTTTTTTTCTTTTTTTATTCATGGACAGCTCATTAGCAGCTCTAATTAGAGCTATGTAGCAGCTCCGTTTCAATATCAATAATGCTTGAGACCACTAAAAGTGGTGCTCTAAAAGTACCACTAGTGATGTGGCAATGGACAAGGCCCACTGTTTGTGTTTTTTTTTTTTTTTTTTAAATACTTGCCAACTCATTAGTGGTGCTCTAAAGCATCACTTTTAGTAGGATGTATCATTACCCTTTGGATATTATGGACTCATTATTACACGACATATATATCGAGAGAGGAGAGAGAGAGAATGTGATGTACTAGTGTAAAACGAATGTGGGACGCTGCTGTGCAGTCGGCTGTGCGGCAACTTAGGCCTATTTCGGGGCCCATTTTGACAATCAGAACCGTTCACATTTTAGAATACGTCAAGTAAGACATGCCTATAAAAAATCAAATTAATCAGATATCGTTTACCTATTCATTCACTCATATTTGTACTCGTTTTAATCAAGATAAAATACATTTGTATTTATTTTTGTAGATACAAATGTTAGTGGATGAATGCGTAAACGATATCCAATTAATTTGATTTTTTGCAGGCATGTTCTACTTGACGTATTCTAAAATATGAACGGTTCGGATTGTCAAAATGGTCCCCAAAATAGGCTCAAATTGCCACACAGCAGACGCTCTCCATATCCGTGTAAAACACAACACTCAGGGACTGCAAAAATTAGAAAACTAGTCGGTGATAGAGAATAATTTGGGTAATATAAACAAATATTATTTATTTATTACACGTATTATATTATTAGCGTTTCGCCCATGTTATATAGAGATTGTTTGCGTTTATAATTATTTATATATGTATATTATAATTTTTAAATATCTTTTTTTTTTCTTTTTTTTACACACAAAAAAGAAATATAATAAATACAACATATCTTCAATCAATTATTTTAGGTTTGTTTTTATTCAAAATTTAAAAGTAATGTATGGGAAAAATTTATAACTAAATTATGGAAAAATTTAGAGTGCTGCTATTAGTATTTACCAAAATTCTTTGAACCCCCCATTTCTTTTGATCCCAACCCTAAATCCTAAATTTTAATAATATTTTTTTGGATACCCCGCTTATTACCAAATCTACCCATATTCATAATGTGTTTCACAATGAAATGCACACTCACCTAATTTTTCATCCCTCTCATTCCCTGGCTCACTCAATCTTCAAAGTTTGGAGCTTTGGTTCAGTATAGAATTCTTGGACCCCAACCCTCCATCATTCTCGTCGCCGTCTCGACTGTCAACGGAGCATTCTGACGACTCTCATCTTCTCTGAATGCTCTCCATATCGCCGAATTAGTAACCTCTCTCATTCTCTCATCATCATCTTCTTCGTTGCTTTTTGTATCTTCGTCATATCTTCGTCATTGCTAAGATCGATCGAAGATACTCCAATTTCTACAAGATTTGCATAACCGTTTGCAAGGTGAGGAAAAACAGAATCATCGTCTGAATCGCCATCAGAATTCTAAATGTAGCCCCAAACGATTTGTTCACCACTGCGTAGCCGAAAAAATGTATTTTGTTCAGAACTGTTTTGTCGAACAATAATGATCCTGTCAGCACTGTATGTCCGAACAAAATTTGTTCATTACTGTGTAACTTGAATCCATTCCAATTCACAACTTAAAATAACATGAATTAAATCCATTCAAAATACATAACATAAATCCATTATAATTCATTCTTTTCCATTCTAAGTTAGTTTAACAAAGAAAATTATAGAACTGACTATTTGCATTAATGTTCAGAACCTATGTATTGAACGAAATGATTATGTTCAGTACTGTATTACCGAACATAATTCTAACAGTCAACAAACCAGTACTGAGCAGCTCGAACGAAACAAGAACGATCGAAAACGACCGAGAATGTTAGTACAAGACAGATAAACTTATTAATAGAACGCCGGTCTCACTAGAATTGTTGTCCATTGCTCTACACAGTGAAATAAGTGATAAAGTATACGTTATACTTGAAGCAAAACTTTCAAGTTCAATAGCGTTAATAATGGTGATGAAGATGACACATTCAGGATTTAAGATGATTATGAAAAATAATAGATTTAGGGTTTATGTTAGTTAGTTATGAAAAGTAATAGGTTTAGGGTTTACAAACATGGAATACGTATAGTTGGAGTTGGAGGTGCGAGTGGCGGTGGGGGTGGGGGTGGGTGTCCAATATTGTAGAGTATTAGTTCTTATTGATAGGTGGGTGTTCCATTTAATAATGGCTTTTAATGTAATTTTACTTTAGGATATAATTGTAATAAAAAAAATTATAAAATAGGGAGTCCAAAGAATTTTGATAGGTGCTAATAGTAGCACTCAAAATTTATTCCTAATGACATTTTTTTACTTTTATATAAATATTTTTAAAAAATAAACTTAAGAAAGGTAGTCAATATAATATTATACATTAAATAAAAAAATGTGATTAGGAATTATGCTTACATAAATTTACTATAGTTTTAATTTCAATTTTTTTTTTAAAAAAAAAAAAACTATTTGAAAAGCATTTTATTTAGCTAGTACCAAATAGATTTTTCTTAGCAAAAATGAAAGTTATAAAATTTTGTTACAAATTTTTAAATATCTATAGTTAAACATTCTATTCTACTTGCTTATTTGTTTGCTTGCTTGCTTGCTTTAGAAGTTTTGATCATTGATCTTTACTCCATATTCATTGTATTGTTTTATTTTTTTTTTTCTTCTTACTTGATTTTCGCATGATACTTTCTTCATAGTGTATCTCCGAGTGTATTACTGAAAATATGATACACTTAAAATGCACAAAATTACAATATATAGAAAAAAAAAATTAAATAATTGCCCAAAACTAAAACTACTTTAAGAAAAAAAATAAAAAATAAAAAGAAATATAAATTTGTTTGAAATAGAAAATAATTTACGTATTTATTTATTAATTTTTAAAAATAAACTTTTCAAGAAAACTATATAAAAAAAAGTACAAAAACCAAATATAAAATATAATACAAAAAAATAAATGAATTATAGGATTTTCAAGAAGTGGGACTCACAAATAATAAATAAATTTATTTTAAAAAATAATAATAATTCTATAATTCATTACTGCCCCATAAAAAAGCAGCTAAAGACAGAGTTAAAAAAATGGAATGTTGAAGTGTTTGGACATGTCACATCCAAACTCAAGGCTCTAGAGGCGGAATTGCATACATTAGACATCTTAGCAGAGGATGGACTATTGGATGATTCGGGGAGGTCAAGAAGAAGAGTGGTCAGAGGTGAAATGTGGCATTTGCTCAGAATGGTGGAGTGGATTTGGCATCAAAAATCCAGATTGAACTGGACTCTAAATGGGGATAAGAATACTAGATTCTTCCATGTTTTTGCTAATACCAGACAGAGTAGAAACATGATCAGCTCTATAGTAGTTAACGGCGTGTCTTATGAGGATCCTAGCAGGGTTCAATTAGAGGTCTACCAACACTTCAAGAAGCTGTTTACTGAGGATTGGGTTAGCAGACCCGTTTTGGGAGGGCCATTCAACACCATTGAGGCAGACTATGTTTCTCATCATCTTGTTGCAGAGTTCACCGATCAAAAAAAAAATAATAATAATAATAATAATTAAATAAATTTATTTTAATAATTAAATAAATTTAGTTTAAAAAATAATAATAATTAAATAATGGAATTAAATAAAACATGTATTAAATTTAAATAATGAAATTAAACAAAATATAAACAAAATTTTAAAATAAAATATCTATAAAAAATTTATTTTAAAAAATTAAATAAATAATACATCAACAAAAAGTTAAATAAAATTATTTTATTTTTAAGTTGAGACATTTAAATTTTATTGAATTTTACTAAATATAATGCATAATTAAATAGTAGATGGTCAAAATGGTCATTTCACCACTTAATCCCATGGGATTGTTATCCCATGAAAATTGTCCCACACACCGCTCCCGTATAGCGATCCCGGTTTCATCCCAACCTTTGTTGTGTTTTGGACTCGGATTCCGTGATTATATGTTATTGTCTATGTCTTATTTCCTTCCTTTAATTCTTTGAAATTGAGTTTTAGGACTTGTTAGGTGAGTTTGGAACAAGTTGGTTGTTAGTTGGTATAAATGGTTGTTGCCCAGATTTTGGTCCCTTCGCTTGAGTGAGGCTTCTTACGCTCAAGCGAGCCTTGTGTAATTTGCCTTTTCGCTTGAGCGAGGTTTCTTGCACTCGAGCGAGAATTGAGAGTCTTCAGGTTTCTTTCCCAGACATAGGTTTTCTAGGAAGATGTAAGTTCTTCGCTCAAACGTGGCTTCTTGAGCTCAAGCGTGCGTCTACGTCTATGGCAAACCTAAAGCTTTGCATTCTACGCTCGAGCGAGGTTACTTGTTGTGTTTGGTCGCTTGAGTGACAACTCTCTCGCTCGAGCGAAGACCGCGTATATCAGTTCGCAGTAGATATATTTTACACCACTTTTGATCTTCATTTTCCCTAGAAACCCTAACCCAGCACCTTCTCTCTCTAAAACTCTCTATCTCTCTACAAATACTCCATGATCTAGGGTCTTTCTACCCTACTTCCTTTGTTAAAAAGATAGAGTTTTTGCGTGGGCTTTCTTTTGATCCGAAAAAGGTGGAGTTTAGTCATCTTCAAAGTTTCTTCCTTCTTCTCCTTTGAGCTTCTATACTTGAGGTAGGAATATTCTACTCTTTAATATGAGCTTTGACCTAGATATTTGTCATTTTGTATAAATGGTGGGATTTGGAAAGATTTGGGTGAAGTTAGGGTTAAGGTTTTGATATTTGAAAGTGGGGTTTTTCATATTTGGTACCATATGTGTAGGAGAGGTCTTGAACATGATATT